AATTGTTTATTACATAATTATTTTTTAGTGTGACAATGTTGGAATAGTTGTCTAGTCAGATGCCACCTCAGGCTAAGAGCTTCAGGAAAAACAATAATTTGTAAGAGAAGAAATTTAAATATCTTTTGCTTCTYTTGTATATAAAATTTATTTTAAACATGAACTGTATAACAAATTATAATGTAAAATAATACAATTTATATATTTTTACATTTAAATTATTAATATTATTTTCAGTTTTGTATAATTCTTTTACCCATCATAATTAACTGACCATAGAAGAGGTAAATGTTTTGGTTTCATTGTGTCTAGAAAATGTTGTCGCCACATTGCTTTTAATTCATTTATTGTGCCTTGTTCCAAAAAATGTTTTACTACTTTTTCTGCTGCGCTATTATGTTGACAGTCATTTTCATACCTTTAAACAGCATCAATTTAATAAATACATAAAATATATTTTTAATTATTATAAAACTTACTTTAARGATTTTATAGTGAGTAAAGTTTCTAGAAATGTATCAAACACTCTATCTGGTTTCATATTATATGTTTCCGCAATTTCTAGTCTTAATTCATTTGCTATTTTATCTGGTAATGAGTGTCGAGATTTTAAAAGTGTCTTAGCAAGACTTTTTGACCTCATAATTTTCACATATGCTGGTATCTAAAATAAATATATTGAGTTTCGAACATAATTTTTTAGTATATGAAGACATTTGATTTAATAAAAATTACTTTTTGGTATTCATTAGGATTTGGCTGTTTAACTTGACACATATTAAACAGCTTTTTACGTATTGCTAAATCATAGGCATTTGATTTGATATGACACCAATAACATAATAGCAATGTATCATGAGGTATATGAGTTTTGTATACAGCTAAAACGAACATTTATTCATAATCATATAAAATTAATATGGAAGCTAAGAATAACATTTTAATAAGTTACATACTTGGCATATGTCTAACAAATTCTTTTGGTATGATACTTTTCTTACGGAAATATTCAGAACGACCACAAACTGTGCATATATTTTCTCGGGGAAGAACAGAAAAGTTGTCTTTTCTATTTTTTAAGTCAGCTGAGAAGTTAAGTCTTATAGTTTTTGGATCATCATTAACCAATTTGGCTAAACCTTGAGATATATACCTGCATATAACAACACAAAACATTTAAAAAGCTACTGTATTCAATAGCTTATTATTGTTAAACTTACCAATCAACTTTTTTATGACTGCAAGTTGACATTACAGTTCCGTCAACATTTTCCATYAAGCAATTGTCATACACTTTAGCAGATTTTATTGTTGAAGTTGAAAATAAACGGACATTAGATTTTGGTTTGTACTTAGTGTTTCCATTAGTTCGAACATTTTGATATGGAAGATCTTTATAATATGAGTATATTTCAGTGACCTTATCCCATTTTTGTTTGTCAGTTAAAAATAACCAGTTCCACCATGATATCTATTTAAAATGAACATAGATAAATGCATTGGTTTAAAAATAGTTCAGTATAAATTACTCTTTTATTTCTCAATTGCTCAAAAATCTTAACAGCTACATAAGCATCCAATGCAGCATACTCAGTTTGTCGATCATTTAATTCTTCAGCTTCCCAATCACTGGCTCGAACATGCCAATCTTTATCCAATTCACATCCCAGCAATCTATACGCAAGAGCTGCCAAACTTCTTTCTTCTAAACAAGATTCTTTGGCTAAATATCTTAAATCAATGCATCCAGATACATTTATATTATAATCATTCATCAGTAAATGAGCATCATCCAAAATAGCTACACCAACTTTAATTATATTTGAGTTGCTTAAAATGTCCTATAGTAAGTATTCAAAAGTAATGTTTAATTAATCATAGTGGGAAATTTTAATATGATTGCACAGTATTATACCTACAGATAAAGATRATGGAATAGATTTTAACTTAGACAATCTAATCAACGAACACATTCCATTGTTGTCAGCAATTTGTAACAATGCCACAGGTTGACGTATTCCATTTTGTGTCACCCACTCACAATCTAGCCCGAGAATCGGCAAATAAGTGGATGATCTAAAAAGGAGTTTTTTTTTTTAAATAAATAGATAAAACAATTAGTTAAGTAATGAAAATACTTACTTTTCAATTTTTGCAGCTATCTGTTCACATTGTTCAATTGTATCCACAATATCAATTTGTTTAGCACGTAATTTCATATATGATCSAAGTAATGGTACTTTGGTAATTATTTTGATCATTATTAATTTAATTACAGAAAACAACATTTTTGTCGTTACATTACTAGTAACATTTGATTTAGTAAAAATTGAAGGATTAGGATTTGGCGGATTTGCTATTTTTTTTTATTTTTTCTTCTTCTTAAAAATCATATTATAAGTCCATGCTGAAATCTGAATACCGATATCAACTATAAATTTTTTTAACGGTTATCATAAATGTCTTATGATATGTTTTGTGGTGATGTGATAGTAGGTATATATATGGCATAGATATATGGTATATGATATATGGTATGTATTATCACAGAACGTATTATGTATATGAAAAATGTCATTGTCTTGTGATAATAGGTATGTAATGTAGTCCCTATGGTAGTCATAAGTAACTGAACCTGAAGTAACAGTAATACAGTATGTATGTTCAATGTTCATGRTCGCAAATTCTCAAGCATGATTAACTAAGACTCACCATTCTGAATTGTCCAGTCACCAGTTCACCACTGACTAAGATGGAAGACTGTAGGTCTGTAGAAGTCAGTATAGGTTTGTGTGGCTTTTTGAAAAATGCATCAATATCATCGAGAACAGTAAAATGTAAATTTTGTTTTAAAAAATGGTAAAATTCTATTCCTATGATTGAAAAAAAAATAAAAGGTTAATTGGTTCCTGGACCGAACAACTTGTGAGGCTCTCTGGACATCATGATTTAGTAACTTTTTTWAAAAAAAAGGTTCTTTCCTAAGAAAAGGTTCATGACCACTTCCCTAGCCTTATGGTAGTCATGACTACAAYTTTACTTACAAG